ATTGTTTGCATTATTTTGTCCCAGCTGCTTAGGTGTCACTTGCCTATTGGTAGCGGTGGGCTCACATGGATTGTGCTAGTTTGGGTTTAATGTGACCGTTGGATGTGTTGGATGGTTGAGATTAATTCTTGGGAGATATTTCCTCTCACCTCTCTTATTTCACTCGACTCCTCCCATTCTCGAACCTTCTTCCCTCTCTCTCGTTCGTCTGGGTTTCTCTGTATGTGAGTCCGTTCTCTCTTCTCTTGGGTGATTTCTCTGTGATTGTTCTAGCATTTAGAGGGTAAACAAGTGGGTAATCAGGTCTGCAATAGTGGCTGGTTTTAGTCTTGGTTTTACTCTAACTGTGAGGAAGAACAGTGGCTATTGGGAGATCCTTTTGATCGATGACCAATACAAAGTTTCCCCTTGAGTGTTCCCTATAATCCCTCTCTTTCTGGATGGCGGTGTGCGATGATTGGAAGGGCTGTTCCTGAGCCTGATTCTCGGCCAAACAGGGAAGTAGACTTCTTCTATTTACAGCTTTTGTTTCTATGTTTTTCTTCATGCCTTGATATGCTTTCTATTGATTATGTTGAGTTAGGTTTGTTTTGATAACTATTGCTTCTGATGTGACTATTGTTGTTTGAATTCTGTACATTTCCCCAACAACATGATTTCAAACTATTTGATTTCATTTGATCTCTCAAAAAATATAGTCACGACTGAGTGTTGAAAAATGATCTATGGGGTCAACACAAATTTATTGAAAATAAGGCGTAACTGTTGTATTGAATTTTTTGTTCTTCTTCAAGTTTATATACAAGGTATTGAGGAAAAGAAAAAAGTAATCCAAGTCAACAATAAATAACGGAAAAACAAATGACCAATCTGGTTCAAACGGTTGATTCAATAAAGTTAATTTAGTGACAAACAGTTGGAACTATCGAGCGAATAACGACCTTTGATCCAATCTCTACATAATTGTCTGGTCGAACCTTTCTTTGGGGACACCTGTTAAACTCTTTTGATCAAGTCTATACTCTTTAATGTGCACCTCAAATTGATCTGAATATTCTTTAGAGTCATTGCACATTTTGGCTTTAAGAAAAGCTCACAATTTATATTGCAGATGTGATCATTGTTAGACAAAAAATGCAGAACATTTGAAAAAATATTAGAAGTAGAAGACTGATAAGACAACATTATAGCATAATAATTTTGATATATTTCTAATAAAATAATTATACAAAAGGCTTTCACTAAAACAAAAAGTATACGCACACCACCAATAGATACATACAAATTCCCTAAAATGATTAGGGAAATAAATAAAAGATGAACCATTTATTTCATAAGAACAACCCAATCCCACCCGGGCCACCCCACAGAAAAAAGAAAGTAACAAAAAAATGACAATGATACCAAAAGCTGGGGAAAAAATAAAATTAAAGCCATCAAATTTGACTAACATCAGAAAATTAATGATAAAACTTGTCTTCCTCTCTCATAATTAAAATCACCATTGGTGAACAGCAACCCCTTCATCTCTCAATTTTCCATACAATGCCAAACACTGCCAATATGCTCTCTTGCTCCCATTCTCTTCTTCTCCTTCTTGTTGCCATTGATTCTTGCACTCTAGAAACAGTTCATCCACAAGACATATAGTCTTCTCCTTCAACATTTCCTCGACTACTTGTGCTTCTGCCTTCATGACGATGTAATCCTCGTTATTCACATTCTTTGTCAACCAAGTCGAGACCCCAGTTTCTTGAGGCGATGATGATTCATCGGCAGTACTGGCCTTAAGCTCCATGTTGAAAATCTCGAACTTTTGATCTCTCATTGGATAGTTTTTGTAAAACCAGTCCAATGCACTGGAGTCATCCGCGATGAAAATTCTCCGTGGATAATTCTCCAAAGAATCCTTCAACAAATCAGGAAGGAACTTGATTTTCCTTGATCTAAAGCTTGATTGCGCCAATGCTCGTCTTGGAGGCTCAAGATAAACATCTTCTAGGCCTTTCAGTGAATCTTTCTTGGCCTCGACCGTAGTTCCACAGGAAATTTGCTTCGCTGGGGAATTTTCCGAGCCGGTTGGTTTCCCGGATTTCCTCATTGCCACTACGGTGTTCTCGTATCTTCGAAGGTACACGATTCTGTAATTTGTTTGAAGGTGTAGATCATTCGAGGGATCATTGGCCAATGGGGCAATCACAATGCCATTGTTCTTGAGAATGCCATCGATTTGCTTGATTCTGCGGACGCTCAGTTTGAAAACAAAATCAAACATCTCGTTTTGGGTGATCTTCTTCCGGCGAAGATCATATTCAGTGATCAAATCAATGCCGATTTCTTTCAAGAAATCCAAATCCTCTTCAATATCACCAGCCTCGGCGCCGACAATGAGGCCCTTGTGGCCCATCTTGATTAGGCCTTCATCAACCAAATCACGGAATAGAATAGGCAGAATTTTGAAGCCATTGACATCAGAAATGGTATCATATTCGTCCAAAGTACCAGAAGAAGCTCTCATAATCGAGCCAAGTGAAGGCAATGTGAGAAGAACCATAGCCAAGAAAAACGATCTTGACATAATCCTCAGAACCCGAGTGTCAGGCAACTTGATGATCAAAAGGGTGTCGGAATTTAATCCCATTCCTATGGTATTAAGCTCGTTCATTTCAAATTCATTCTTAGCTCGGTACCCACGAGCTAAATCGCCCATCCCTGTCCGAAGAATGCTGAAAAGAATGGGAGCAGCAAAAGAGTTTATAGATCCAAAAAATGCAGATTGTTTGTAATTGTCACAGAAAAAAGCTGATTATGTGGGGGGGAAATAAAGCAATTTGAAAGAGAAAAAATAACAAGCTAAAAGGTCGCGCAGTATGGGAAAATTTTAGCGAGTACAGAATCTTGCTGCGGTGTGATTACCACCGACGAGAGCCACACGAAAGCGTCGAATTCTAGACCAGAGGAGCACCAATTGCCTGATTCTTGCAATTTCCATGACTCTCTCTTTCTCTCTACTCCAGATCAAATGGTGAATGTTACATGATATGTAAAACGTTGGGTTTTTAACGATGATCAAAACTCAACCACCATTAACCTGCAGAGAGAGACAGAAAGATAGGATTGTGATGATGGCTGAGACAACGTATGAAATACAGACAGAGAGAGTTAGAGAGAGAAGTACAAATGCAATGGAATTATGAAGAAAATGGGGGTGGTGGTGAAGGCAGTATGTAGTGGCGGCTTTAATTGAGGAGCTTACTATTTTTGCATGCGTGTGGGGACCGTGGAAATTCGAAGGTCCATCAATGTTGTAGGTTTGGGTTTTTGTGGTTCGTGTCTGTAAATCTAGAATTAAGGTTGAAACACAGGTCATTCTTACCTTATTGTACTCAAGTCTTACTAACCATTTCTTGTAGTCACCTACTATCTACGTGGAAAAAAGCCACACGTACAGGTTTTTCCTTGAGTCGTGCTATTCGTATCGAAAATGATTGACATACAGGTTGATTGACACTCACAATGGGAGGCCCACTTTTTTTTTTTGTGGAATTTTTAATCACGCGGGGCACGCCGCATGTAAGAAGTTGTCAAATTCGTTGTCATTCATTTTCGGTACAAATGGAAAAGCCCTTTTTCCTTTACATGCATTTTAGTGTTGTGCTTACGGCACCTGATTGGAATTTTTTTTTTCCAACTTTCAATGAAATTTTGCCAAGTGTTATATGTGAAAAAATCTTGTGAAGTACATATCGCATCGTTCAGCTACGCGTCCTGAGTATGTCTTACAAAGTTTAGAAATTTGGGGGGGGGGGGGGGGGGGTTCTGCTCTTATCCTAAAAATAAATCTGTTACCTTCTAATAATACTATGGACATATCTTCACATTTCAAAAAATATTATTAATATCTCATGTTTTAAATTTTGAGTATTATATACTCTCTGGTCACTTTTAAGTCTAAATAGTAATTTAAGTTTAAATTATTAATGCTTAACAAATATATAAAGGATAATTATATTATCACCTCAATTTCTTTTCATTGTTAATTATATTAGAAGTCCTTCTTCTTTGCTATTGTAACATCTCTGCCCCCAACTTATCTGTCATTACTTTATCCTTTAAGTACTGAAAGTTCATTACTTAAGCATAAAAAAGAATTTTTTGCCNGTTCATTACTTAAGCATAAAAAAGAATTTTTTGCCCCTCATACTTTTAAATTGACAAAAATTAACATATAAAAAAAAAAGCGTAACATAATATTTTTCCCTAGATGCAAAGCACGATAACAAGATATTTGGACAAAAACGATCACTAAGGACCATATGTACTATTTAATAAAGGATTGAAGATGAGAGTTTGACAAAAAAGTGTGGACGTAGGTGAGATAATAAGTAAAGATTGAAGATTTTAATACAATTAAAAAATGATATAACTAAAACAAAATTGTGGTATCAATATAGTTCCTCGTATATAAAACTTCATAACATCTATGTATTAATTTTGCCCTCTCGTAATAATGTATCGTCTTATATCAAAATCAGTTACACTAATTAGTTTGATTTATCATCTTTTTGTTGAAAATTAGTGCATATAATTTTTTTTATTCTTTCACTTACTAGTGATTTTATTTTAATTAAATGAATTTTCTAGATTAAAATATACCATGTCTGGTAGGGATTAAAATCTAAATTTTTAAAGATTGAAGATTTTAATACAATTAAAAAGTGATATAACTAAAACAAAATTGTGGTATCAATATAGTTCCTCGTATATAAAACTTCATAACATCTATGTATTAAATTTGCCCTCTCGTAATAATGTGTCGTCTTATATCAAAATCAGTTACACTAATTAGTTTGATTTATCATCTTTTTGTTGAAAATTAGTGCATATAATTTTTTTTATTCTTTCACTTACTAGTGATTTTATTTTAATTAAACGAATTTTCTAGATTAAAATATACCATGTCTGGTAGGGATTAAAATCTAGATTTTAATTTAAATCAAAATTAATAATTTATTTTAATCACATATTTTATGTAATCCATAACTTTTTAACCACAGATTTTATCAATTTTTATCAAAATATACTAAAAATCTGATTTTAATCCTTATCAAACAAGTTATATATAATTTTTTATTCTTTCAAAAATGATTTAAATTATAAAACATAAAATAAAATAAATTTATTTGGACGGGTTCGAGGAATTCGAGGGAGTGTTCTTGTTTCCTGTCCTCGCTCCCATACACAAGACAATCTGATTTTAATCTCTATCAAACCAAACGGTGGCTTACTTTGAAAGCTTTTTGAACTTGGCCAAACATGTAGGAAAGTGAGATATTAGCATTGCTAGTGAACCATTTAAAAATTGTGCTCCATAAGTACAATGTTAAGTTGAAGTTAACATAATTCATAAGTTGACTCTTGAACCTAACATAATTTCATGTTAAGTTGAAGTTAACATAATTCATAAGTTGACTGTTGAACCTAATAATAAGAGACCCATCCTTCCTTTCTTATTATATTGAATTTAAGGCATAATATATTTTCTAACCATCAACATATTCAGATTAAATTTAAAAATAAAAATAAGCTTACATACGATTCTAACTGAAATTATTTTATACTTTTTTTTTTAAAACCGTGGATGTTCGGGCCAATTTGCGCGCACCTCGACTAATCTTACGGGGCCCTGAAATTTACGGACAGGTACTCATCTTAGTGGCCTTGAGGAGACTCGAATTTGTGATCATTGGAGAGAAAACTCAAGATCTGACCAATTTAGCAACCCCTCAGGATTGAAATTATTTTATACATTTAACTCATGTTTGAACTTATAACTTTTTATTCACTTTTTAACCACACATTTCATGGGATACACCAACCTATAATTTTCAAGAAGCTTCGTCGAGTCCATATTTTTGCTTTTCTATCAATTTTAATTCTAATCTTCCTCCCCAATTTAATATTATGGTGTCTGTATAGACCGAAATTTCGTTATGGTCCAATTCTCAGTAAATCGGAATGAACTTATTTCACAGCGGCTGATATTATTGAAAACGTACCAAATATAACTCGTATATATAGTGAAAAAGTACCATTTTTCATCAAGTGGTCCTTTGCAATGAATGCTGTAATCTGAGAACTAAATATTAGCCTCGAATTTATGATAGGATTCAACCAAGTTTGCCGGCTTCAAAGTACTACCGTTGGTTGCAAAATTAAAACTCGATTTACACAATATGGTCTCACGCACAATCGGGTTCGTACCATATTTTCAATTCAGACCATTTTATAAAGTTTGGAATTTACAGTTTGGTTTTACCTATCGATTGCATGATTTCTCCACCCAAATAATTTTTCACAATTATAGATTGCATGTTTTCCCACCCCCACAAACCACCATACTTTTAACAAAAATAAAGACATAAAAAAGACAATTTTAGAAGAGAAACAAATGCTAGAAATTGTTAAAAAATCGTGGTGCCAATTTTAACAATATGAAGGTCATGACTCATGAATATATTTACATTTGTTTATTAAGTTACCATATCACAAATGATATATAGGATGCAGTAGTTATTCTCTTTTCTTTGGTAAATACATAGTAGATATAGGTAGGTGAAAAAAAAATACTTACTTCAGTAGCGAAAAAAGAATCGAGGTTGTGATCAATTCTTAGGTTAACAATTGCAAGTTTCATAGATAAAACTGAACCATTTTGAAACGATTCGGTTTGGTTTTGTCCGGCTTTTGAAAATCGAAATCTAAATCAAACAATTTTAAAGTGATTTGAGGAGAGAAAAATTGCGGGTTCATGTGGATTTGAATCAACAATTTCAAACCACTCATTTCAATATACGCATGCCTCGTCAAATGCGACAAAGAGACGATCGTCATATAGGATCATTGCAAACTATCTCATACGAAACAACTATATGATCGTCTTTAGAGCATCTTTAAAAAGATCATATTTAGAAAGAACATCTTATATATAATAAAGAGATAGCAAAAAATTTTATACACTCCAATAACGCTCTCTATTTTGATTTTTCATTTTGTTAATTTCAAGAAACATTTATTAATTTCTTTTATCTTTTATATAACATATTCTTTTATATGTCAATGATCAATCAATTCAAATGAGATTTGAATAATTTCGGAAAAATATGGAAATCGTTAACTTCTTAAATGCAATCATTAAAAGTAAAAATGGAGAGTGAATTTCACTTTCCAAAATTTGGAAATTTAAACTCACTTTCTATTTTAAAAAATTAGAATAACGACTCTTTGAACTTTTTTTAAAGTATTGACTCTCTAAAATAAAAAGCATCTTGTGTTTAGAGAGCATATTGAAGATGCTCTTACCAATAATGAACTTACCAAAAATTTATTTTAATTGTTACTCCATCTACCTTATTATCGAGAATATTAACATTTAAAATGACGAGACACGAAGTGAAGATGAAATAAAAAATTTGAAAGTATAGTGGTAACTCGAAAACTTTTAAAGTTCAATGGTAACTCAGAAATATTAGAAAAAGTTTAGCGGTAACTAAAAAAACTTTTAAAAAGTTGACAATTTGGAAAATATTGGTGAAAGTTGAGTTACAACGGGAATATTTAACCCTAGTTAAATATGCATGCTACTTTCTTTTCAATGTAGGTGACATATCATTCACCTTTGGAAGTTGATTCTTTTTGTTTTTAATATGGTTTTACCGTTTCTACTGTTTATGTTTTACGTTTGTTATCTATACATGTATTGTATGTTTACGGTGATTATATTTTTACTCTAATTCAATTAGGTAATTGTACTTCAATATTGCTCAATCGGATAACCACATTTTAATATGAATTCATTTGGACGACCACATTTTAATTCGGTTACAATCAGGTAGCTACACATTAATTTGATATCAATTAATGTAACTTCGTTCAATTCCGCTAAAATGAATGACACGACAGTCAACAAATGATAACTAACACACATAATCGTTAGTTGTTGGCATGAAATAAGTACAACTTTATTGAAATAAATGACGACGATCATTTACTGATTGTTATGTCACCAGTTTTCTTTAGTCCAAATGACATAATTATATGGAGTTACCCTTTTGAAATAATTGAAGTATAGTTATCTATTGAACAAAATTGTAGTTCTGCTATTTGATTGAAATACTGACATAGTAACACACCGTGTTACCTGTAGGTACTCATACGACTAACACACCATGTATCATTGTAACACATAGTGTTACTCCCTAACCAATTCAATCAACACAACATGTATGCTAGTAACATATTATGTAACCCTCTTATTTTTGCGAATAACACGTTACTCTCTCATTTTTACAATCGATTGTGTTGCATCTACATAATAATTTATATAATGGTTTACATACATATAATGTGGTGAGATACGATTGATCAGAATTTCTTCAATCAAATTTAAAAAAAAAACTATACTACTCAATTTTATTTCTTTTCCTTTTGCTTATTTTTTTTCCTTTTTTATTTTTTACTAATTTAACTTAAAAGGGCAAGATCATTATTTTGTATAAATTTAACACATTTTTGGATGGAAACCATCTGTAGGGGGCAGGTCTACTAATGTTTCAAAGACGAAGACAAAAAAAAAATGGAATAAGACAACATTAGGAACACGATCACTACTTTTGGACAAAGGTTAGCGCTGAAATTGCAATCTACCATTAATTATTTATGTGACTAAGTTGAAAAAATAAGATTCATAAAACAATTATGGATAAATTCACTATCGGTCCCAATCTATTGCTGTAATAGAAAGTTGATACTCGATCTTTAAAAATGAGCAAGTTGATCCTAAACATTTAATTATTATAATTTCTACATGATAGGCTGTTTTTAACGTCCTAATTTTCATGGATTGTTAATATAGACTAATTTAAAGAAGGAAAAATTAAAATTTGTGGGAAAAATAAATAAAGAGTAATATTATCATAAAAAGCAAAATTGAAGGGTAATATGGTCATAAAATTATTATATAGCTGCAGCATCCCTGAACTGCTTCCACTTACAACTGCCTTCCAAATAACATCTGCTCCCTCTCTTATTTGTCACACTCTCACTGTCGCAAACATTCCACAAATTCTCTCCACAAATTCGAAGATTCTGATTTTTAGGTCAACGATCTGTAAGTTCTGCGAATCTTTTCTATCTCTCCTTCGATTCCAGTGAAGTTTTCGTTTTTTTGGTTTATTTCTTGGTGTTACTTTTGATTTTTATGGGTTCATTTGTTTCCTTCTTCGTCTTCTAGGAATAAAGTATCCTCATTAAGATTTTTATGTATGGATGATGAACAAAGTGAAGGTTAATTATTGAAGTGAGTTGATCTGACTTGACAAACTGAGGCGGCCTGTGTAACTTTTGTACAAACAGAAGGGATATTTCATATTTGTGATTGTCTATAACTCCAAAACTCATCTTGAATTCTGATTGTATTCTCATAATATATATGGTTTTTTTTTTTCTTTTTGGTAAATCTGTTCATTTTCTTTTAAACCTACCTCTTTCTAGACCAAAAATTGGTTAGCTCCTCCGCCTTTACCTGGGGATTTAAAAAAAATCATGGATTGTCATTCGGTATAGAAACAAATCAACAATTTTTCAAAATCTACTTCTTGTCATTTGAATGAGAACAAATCACAATTTATGTTTATTAATCAGTGAATAATGGTAGAAGTTCATTTTATACTTACTTGAGTCTCACAAACTTGCTCTTTTGCTTTAATTTCAGGTTTCTTGTGTTATAGATTCGAGACAATTTCAGTTGGGCATAGGAGTGACCAATATGCGGTGGCTGAGTCTGTCAATTGATGTTTTTCGTTGTGTTATCTCCTTGAATTTTTACTTCAGGGTTATTCTATAAGTTGTCATTTCGTCTGTTGAATTCAACTTAATTGTTGTTTCCATTATCCTCTTATCTCTACCTATCAATGGGATCCAGTCACCTTTCTTTCTTTAAGTGTTTTATCTTCATTCTATAAATTTAGATAAGTGATAGAACCGTTCAAAACTAGTAGTTCAAACAACTGTTGTGTTTATTTCTGACTCAAGTTTGTAGTCTCCGTGTCTTGGTGACCTTGATCTTTTGTTCAAATTGATTGCATTTCCTATAACAGATCTGCTAGATCCTTCATCTTTGTTTTTAGGTCGGGCTTCCTCTTTTCTACCAGTAGTTTTGCGTTTCCATTGTTCACTTTCATAGACTTTGAAGACCAGTCAAGAGTCAAAAGAAGTTATGGTGTGCCAAGCAGCGAGCCAAACAAGGTTTAAGGCATTAAAACATGAAAGTGGGATTGCTGGGAGAACAACCATCATAGTTAGAGTAATAGCATGCTTTCAACCTTTGCAGAATTGCCAGGTTTGTTTAAAATAGTTTCTAGCTCTGGTTATGGTTGTTGATATTATGTCTTTGTTGAATCAACTGTTTGTTATCCAAATGTTGCTATCTCGTTTCTGTAATTACGATAATCATAATACCACTAAATTTTTTCCTGTTCATCTGCTACCAGGCTGAATATTTCCGTCAATTGCTTAAACCTGTTACTTAGCTTGTTATCGAGTTTCCATCGTCCAATCAAGCTAGCAATATATAGTTTCCGCCTTCTTTTGTTTAGCACTATTGAAAGTAAGCGGTTTGTGGATTAAATTCAGGCATTATCCTGGTACGATATCAATATTTTAACGGAACATGCACTCATTTGTCTTGATTCATATCTAGAGCTTGTGAATGACTATTATAATTATGCATGCCAGGTTGTTTTTTTGACTGAATGGTTACGGGCAAAGAGTCTTGTCAGCAGTTATCTGCGTGGAATTTGCCCAATTTGGATCACATGGCACTTTTACAGCTGAGGCAAAACAATAGTTTGCCATGGTTTCCAAATTCTTCCACATTTTCTGCAAATGTGGGTTTTCTGGGATGTACAATTTCCAATTTACCTGGTTCAAAAACAGGCCAACTAAATAGAGTTGATGGGTTCTTCCAACATCTTCCTCGTCGCTGGGAGAGCTCATCTCCTATCATAAACCTATATCTGAAAGATTCTCAATGTGGGTTATCCCATGGTCTTGGTATGAGTGCGAACCCTTCTGGTGCTTCTTTCACTTCTCAGAAAAAGTTCCTCATTTTCGATCAGTCTGATAATAACACTAGATTGTTCTTTAACCCATCATTCTCTCCTTCCCAAAATCAAGTTATTGCCTCCAATACCGCTGCTGGAGGTCATGGCACATGTGATGAAGTGGCTGTTCAAATGGAGCAAGAACCGCAGTCCTTGGTGAAGCCAATTATTCTGGAGAAATGGGATGAAAATCATTCAACCGGAGGAAGTGAGGTGCATGAAGACACTGAGGAAATCAATGCTTTACTCTACTCAAATAGCAATTATGAGTATGATGATGATGATGGTGAGAATGATGAAGTAACTAGCACGGGGCATACTCCATTCACTATTGAAGAGGGATATGACAAGGACATACAAATTGGGGAACTAGTTGAGGGAGTTGCCAGTTCTAATGGCTCAACTAAAAGGCAAAAATTGCTTGATGGTGGGTACAAGAAATCATCATTGGTGGATACAGGAGGTCCGGTGAAAATGGATGGTCCTCAAAATTACGAGGATGGTGTGGAATCAAGCTGTGCCGGTGAGAACAATTCCTATGATGATATTGATTCCATTAAAAGAGTAAAGAAGGTTAAGATTCGCGAGTTGTTGAAAATCCTTGAAAGTATCATTCCTGGGTTAAAGAATGAGGATCCACTGTTGATAATTGATAAAGCTATAATTTACTTGAACTCCTTGAAGCTGGAGGCTGAGACTTTGGGAATTAGCTATCTTTGAGTGCATATCATCCTTAAACTCAACACGGAGTGTTGGAGTGGAGATTTCTGTTGGTTGGGTAGAATCACTTACAAGATTACCATTAAGTGTGTGTTGAATAAAATTATTTATGCATTTGAAAGTGCTAAGGTGACTTTTGATTTTGCAAAACCTTTACCACCTTGCTTTTCACTGTAATAGTGTAGCAGTATGTGGGCCAATTAAAGAGGAGTTTACTGGGATGAAATTTGATCTTTACTCTCAGGTGGAGAAGAAATATGGGGTTATAATTGGTGACTTGAAATGATTATTTTTAAGCTTTGGGGTTTAAAGCAAGTATAGCAGATTTGAATTCATGATGGAGGATAGTGGTGTGGTGTGCTGTAAATGAGGACTCCTTTTCCGTGAATGTTGAGGAACTCCATAGATTAAGTGCATGCGCTTGGCTATTTGGGTCCCACCTTCCATTCTCACTTCCTTCTTTGATTTTTACGCTTTTTCTTGAATATCTCCATGGTATTGGTGTATGTCATAGAGGGAACTTCCTATCCCCCACCCATGAATTCATTCTGAATTGCTTATGCCAATACATCATCAACTATTGTTGTTTGTTTTCACCTGTGGGCTTTTGTATTGTAAAAAACTGTGGTTTGAATTCTGTAAGGACATGAGTCTTGGTGTGTATTCTTGTACTGTTTGGTCTTGTGCATCTAATAAATACTTATATTTTTAACTGTGTTTATTTTGTTTATTTTTCTTTTTGCATTTTCATGTTTTGTGGCCTTCTTGATAAGAAAACCATGTGCAGTGCGTGATTGCATTCTTGATTGACCCTCTGATTGTGAACTTGGTGGAGTGTGGGGTCAGTTCTTGTCAAGATTTTTGACTCTTTCTCTGTATGAACCATGAACTTGTCTCATTGAGTGCATAACTTCCCCCACCCCACCCCACCACACACTACGTGTGCACGCACGTGATGGTGGGAGATTCTAAATTTGGTTTTCTTAGCTTGGATTGAGAGTTTATACATTCTTATGAACATTATGATTGATCAAATTCAAGAAATTTTCGCGTCCAAATAAATCAACATTGAGTAGGCGTATAGATGACTCACTCATCACGTACAATAGGACTGAAACTGAAAACTAGTTTTATGGTTCGTCCATGAAAGCGAGTCAGAGTAAGACCTAATATCATGTAGGTTTTAATCGTGTTTCACCAAATCCAATTGAATTTTATTTTTGTATCTATGTGATGCAAGGCTGAAAGATGGTTTTCTAGATAGGCAACTTTGGCATCTTTTGTATTTAATCCTCATTTTTTTCATGTTCAGTAACAGCATAAATTAGGATTTAAATATGAAATTGGAGTAAATGTTGTCAAATGTTAGGTTAATGTTCATATTTTTCTTTTCTTGATAATGTAGGGTGGTTCAACAAATGACTAAAGAAATTGGATCAAATTTATTCTCATGGTTTGTACAAGTTAATAATAACATTCTTAAATGCATTATTAGTATGGGAATGATAAGGACAGCCACATTATCATTCTTATTATATCACAGCTCTTATTTATGGAAGTAGTTATTGACTTAAGAGTGCTCTGAGCACAAAAGGTATTCCAAGCAGAAGATCAAAATGATGCCATGATTAAGGGCATGTTTTGTAGGGCTCTGCTTTCATTTTTGCTTATTGTAGAAGAGATTTTTGAGAAAATTAACTTAAATCAATTTTATCTAAAAATTCTTCTAATCCGACAAAGTATTTTTCAGAAATTATTCAAATATGTTTAAAAACAATTTTAGTTTTTGACTTTTCAAAAATATTGCTAAATGGGTCTCAAGATTCTTTGATCAAAATATTATTATTATTATTATTATTATTATTTTCATATTTTTTATGTTTTATATTTTATTTTCAACAAATTATTGCATGTTCTGGAAGGTTAAGACTCAAACCCTTCTTTTTTTCATCATTTCTTCATTTTATATTTGAAATTGTTACTCTTGTTATAGTTTTTTCTTGGGGGTGGGGTAGAGGGTTAAATTGCATCATTGAACCCAACTCTTTATTATAGTAACAAGTTGGTCCCAACCTTTTATTCTATTTGCATAATCAATCTCTAATGACCAAATAGCGTAAATCTCTATTAAATATTGACGATGTCCTTGTATCTTCAACTTTATTAGGTTACACTTCTCAAACTTGGACCAATGCACTAAAATTTAAAGTAAAACATGTTTGTACGAGGGACATGACAACTTAAGGAAGATTTGAATGATTTTTGTTATTGAAAATTGACCGCGCAATTATAATAAAAGATTGTGAATAATTAGGAACAATAAATTGCGAATCACGAGTACTATTTTCTCTCATTTGTAAGGGTCATTGATTCATTACAACTTTTATAAGTCTAAGCTATCTAGGTGAGACATGTGGGGCATGGACTAAGATACTCAAATCTTCAATAAAATGTAAGGCAAATATATTATGTGGTAATGCTGAACCCACGAGTTGCACCACCCCCACCGTATTTTTCTAATAAATTATGAGTAGAATTTAGTTCACTATGCAATAGCAAGTAGCTGGAAAAATAATTCACTTAACACTCCGTTGACTATTGCATCCACTATTTTCTCATCCATGGCAGAATTATTTTCCTATACTTTGCCATTTTGGCTTCTTCTTCTTCTTTTCGTTCTTTATTATGATAGGTTCTTCTTACTTTTACATCCTAGCTAGCATACGATCTTTGTTCATCCTATGGTCGGTCGTTCTCTTGTCAGAATTCACTAACTAAAAAACATAATTCTCTCTTGTATCCATGCATTTAGAAGTATTCTTCCACATGTGAAAGGATCCCATGTGGCGTGTACTCCTTTTTTCTGGAAATAACGTTCTTTAGAGTGTCACATTTTTTGTTTACATGCCACGAAAACAATCATTACCTTGTGAACAACGATAGTAATACGCGGCTTTCTCTCCGTCTCAAAAGACAAAGCTTAGTTAGTAATTAGGCGTGACATGAAATGTTGACATTAGGATCAAGTTACTGTTTGGGATTTAGACATGGGCTGAAGTGGGATGTCAATTCATGCTTGTTCCTTTCCATTTTGGCCATGGTTTTCAGCCTTGGCTCCTTTCATGGCCAGACGAGATCACAGTGTTAGATTTTTTTCAACTACAGATTTGATTTTTTTAGGCAATCATCAAAATTAAAAAATAAAAATAAAAATTACAATTTGTAGGATTTCTACATGTAATATCAACTGATAGGCCAGAAATTAAAATAAATATACTTTATATCGAGAACAATGAGAAGATAGCAAGAATGATTTTTCTTGTAATTTCCTCGATGTTGAGGTGATTTCTACATAAGGACTTCATTTACGCACATCAATGTATTCTTAACCTAATAGACGACCGCTGAGAGTAGTGATGTGAATGGAACTCCAAGACCTAATATAGACCAACTCTATATAAAACCATCCCAACTAGTACATCTTGACATCTAAGCCCCTGTTTGTCTACCATTTTTCAAAACATTGTTTTCTACAGTAATCAATCTCCACCACACATTCAAATAATAAAATATTCTACACATAAACAGATAAAGTTTCTTTCAATTTTAACCACACATTCTCCAAAAAATACTATTCATTACACTATTTTCATCACAATAATGGTAGACAAACAGGCACTAAAACTCAACTAGAGCTACAACGCAGTTACACAAAACTAATCACCCCAATACAGAAACACTGATGATAAGATTATTATACTTTCAGAAATAATAACTGTTATCGAATAAGAAATTCATTGAATATTCTAACAGGAAGAAAAAATGTGAAAAAAGAAAAACTGGCAATACAGAGTTGAATAGATGTAGCATTTATGAAATGGAATTTCTCCATCTTCTAGGAGTCTTCTTAGTCTGTTCTGCATTTCCTACCTGAGACCCTATATCATTGTTTTCTGTTGTTTTACCGATCTTGCTTAGTTTTTTCCACCCAACAGTCCATGCAGATGTCTGTTTAGGCTTTGCCATCTTATCGAATTGCCTCTGTAAAGTTTCCATTTCATTTTGGAGCTCCGAGTACTTTGCCTTGACACTGTCCAGTTCAAACTTAAGACTATTGATATCCTTTTTGGCAGCAGCCCATCCTTCTTGAAATGATTGTGGCGTCCCTTCAAGTAATGTTTTGCGGTTTGATATCAAGGTCTGGTACTGGGGTTCGCCTGCATCTTTGAGGGAGTTGTTTGATATTGCATTGCTTATCTTCACCTGCTCTGAGAAGAGGACTTGCACCACAACTCGTAACGGGAGTCTTTCGTTTTGTGCAGCATGCATACAAGCATCAATTGACAGCTTCTGGCAATCCATCACACGGCACAGTCTCTTCCTTTCGTGCTCAGTTAGTGTTGGATGGGCCTACAGTTGAGAAAAATCATCATCAGATGCTAATAAATTTATTTTGGAGTGATAAAAAAAATGATCACACTAACAATCTTCAACCAACTCACAAGGAAAAATCACCTCACACCACTTCCACAACATCAAAGAAGAGAGAGAGAATGATGGAAAATGGCAATGTGTTGCGATTTGAGTCTAATTAATCTGATGATTTGAGTCTAAAGATAAGTAGAGATTGTTTTGAATATTTCTTCTTTTCTTTTTTCAACTTTTACTTCACTTCAAGATGTATTTGAGCCACGAAAACGGATCATTTAAGATTTGAGGTTCTTGATGCAACAATGCACATGTAAATATTGTATCTCGTAATTCCATCTTGATCTTACGATGAGAGCTAATGAAAATGACATTTTTCCTTAGAAGCATGAACTATGAGAAAATCAAAATGATCAGAACATAATTCAGAAAGAAATTGCAAATAGATATGATGTACCTTAAGATAGGAATCAATTGCTCTATACAATCCATCGTTACAAGTTCTAGCTGATTCAGGCAAAGCCTCAGCCAGGACCTGAAATTTCGTCAACGACAGATTTCTGTCTCTGGAAACCTCTGTGAGGTAGCTGTCGAGGAGCCTCGCCACTCTAATCTTGGCATTTGGATTTGTCCCCCTTTGATCTGAATCATACATATTTTTATCAGAAAATGACTGTCTCACAGGACTTAAACTTCCCGACTGTTCTTGAACTAGGAAATGCTCCAAAAGCCTCTGAACAAGATCAACATCGTACAATGTCTCACTTTTATTGTAACAAGGTATCAAAAGATCTGCCAATTGAGCCTGTTCAAACTGCATACCAACCCTTTTCTCCAATTCAGTAACCAAAGCAGGAGCCGCTTTTAACATGTTTGCCATTCTCAACAACCTAAGAAGAAAACTACATGAAACGCTATCTCTCTGTGGGGGAATTATACTTATTAGGCTTTCGATAATCATCCTTTGATCTTTGGCCTGAACAGTTGGTGTATCCTCTTTACTTCCAGCCACAATCATATGTAGCCCACCTTTCCAGCTACTACCACTTCCATTACTATTAGTACTATTACTTCCATCATCGCCAGGAGCCCCTGATCCCGACCCCTCTTTGATCAAACCGGGGAGCCATTTACTTGCATAATACATAATCACAGCTCCAATCAATTCATACCTCATCCCTTTCACCTTAATAGCAGTAATAACACGTACAAAATGATCAATCCGGAGTATGGAGACATCTTCAAACCACCAATCCGGGGGCACTTGTTGGTTCCTACTCGGGCTAGAATCTTTCATCTCATTCCATTTCGGACTGGAAACTCTCAGGGGCTTTCCTGTATACTGCCATTTTATTCCTTTCGGGTTAGCACAAGCCTTCCACGCAATAGACTCGCTACATCTTCTAACAATTTGGAGATTTTCCGCCCAAGGGGAGAGTTTTTCACAGCTTTTCAATACTATTATGGAGTCCCTCCATGATGATAATACCACATAACTGAGAAAAGCTTCAGTTTTGAATATCAGATTGCCTTCTTCCAAATCTTCTGTCATTTCTAGATACTCTGCTGCACATCTTAGGCCGGAGATAATATTCGCTGTTAAATCAACAGCAATTCCATAGCAGAATTTTGCCGCCAGTTCAAATGCCTCAGGCCCTCCTGGAATGTCATCTAACACTATCTTTTTTAATTCTGCATCCCGTGATTCATATATGATTCGGTTCAACTTTCCACTTCGAGAAAGAAGAGGATACTACAAACACACAAATGTCATGATTAAGCTCAAATTCCGATTTTCAAGAGCAATAATAAACAGAAAAACAGTATGCAAAGATTTATTGTACTTCACCCTGAACGTGTGCCTACAACTCGCTGTAACGACCGAGATGATAAGGTTACTTCATGCCTCTCTTACACGTAAAAGAAGATTAACATGGTTCGCAGTGAGAGTAACAAGTGTACATTATGATTAGGCTTGACAGAGTCCAACGAGTGAGATATAGAAACTAGTCAGAAAATGAAATTACCTTGTGTAAATGGAAACTAACATCTCCAATCTGAACTAAAACGTCACTTGGAATATCAGTTTCAACATACCTATATGCGCAAAAATATTTCCATAATTTACACTTCAAGAACAGCAAATAAAATAGTTTGAACAAATGAATTTTCAGTGAAAATTAACCATCGTACATACCAAGACTGCCCTCTTTGCTCAAAACCATCAGTCTTAACTCCATGTTTGCTAGTGGTAAGAACTCCATTGCTGAAACCTCGTCCTCCAGCAGACTCAATTTCTGAATCCCACATTGTGTAAAAACAGAGAATTCAGAGCACGGTTTCTCAAGAAATTGATAAGACTACAGCAAAGCTGAACTGACGAGTAAAAAGGAAGAATCCCACATGGGTTGCTTGGAATTATCTCTAATTGTCGGCTTCTCACAGAGTTTCAAGCCCTCCCACAGGCTGTGAAGTAATGGGCATACTAACACTGTTATTGGATCTTTTCATTAATAAATTATTTTCTTAACTAATCAAATTCAGCTATCATTTCTCTATTTAATAAAATATCAAAGCAAGACCCGAGTCTCGGTCAGGCAATCAATAGTTTATAGGGAAGAATGTACACGCAATCTACACGTAAAAAAATAACTTAAACTTCTAGACGAGTGGTCGTTGCTTACTGACTTATCTTAATCACGGAACATTCTCAACTACATGGAGAAGTTATTGATAGTTGCTGCAGTAGGTGGAATATATAAGAATAATGCTACTTGCAGTCGCTCACTTCAGCAGTCGCTCTATGTGGTACACATGTCAAGTGTGTATTTGATGTATTAAATGTAGTCAAAAACTATCACATTAATATATCAAATAACTACATGTCATGTGTGTGCCACATAGGACGACTGCTGCAGTGAGCGACTGCAAGTAGCATTACTCTATTTAAAACCCATTAATTAGAAGGACTTTAGTATTTTATATTTGAAATGTATTGATATTGGAAGACTATTAATGTTGCTTGATATTCAGTTACAAAAATCATTATTTTAGAATTATTGACAGGTTGTTCCAACCCGACCGACCCAACCCAATCCGACCGACATTTGGTTGGGTTGGGTTGGGTTTCAATCTCTACGTGGGTTGGGTTGGGTTGAATTTCAATCAAACCGATCGTGTTGGGTTGG